TTCTTACTGTTGTAGGGAAGCTGCTTGCCCATGTTGTACTGAAAAGGTTCCAGGTACTTACACAGAGAGTCTATCCAGAATCACAGTGTGGATTCTGAGCCAACAGGTCCACCACTGATATGGTATTTTCCCTTAGACAGTTGCAAGAGAAATGCAGGGAACAAAGACAGCCACTTTTCGTAGCCTTCATAGATCTTACAAAGGCTTTTGACTTGGTTAGTAGGGACGGCTTATATAAAATTCTCCTCAAGATTGGATGTCCACCTCAGCTCCTCAACATCTTAGGTCATTTCATGAGGATATGAAGGGCACAATTGTTTTTGATGGCCTAACATCAGATTCCTTTAACATTCGAAGTGGAGTGAAGCAGGGCTGCGTCCTCATGCCAACTTTATTCGGGATCTTTTTTGCTGTCATGCTGAAATACACTTTTGGAATTGCAACAGGGATATCTATCTCCGGACCAGATCAGATGATAAACTTTTTAATCTCTCTAGAGATTAAGTCTAAAGTCCAGCTGAAATGCCTACGGGATTTCCTCTTCGCTGACGATGCTACCATTATTTCTCTGCCGAATATCTTCAACAACTTATGGACTGTTTTAGTAAGGCCTGCCAAGTCTTTGGTCTAACAATTAGCCTGAAAAAAGCACAAGTCATGGGTCACGATGTGGATCCACCTCCCTGTATTACAGTGGTTCTCAACCTTTCTAATGCCGTGACCCCATAATACAGTTCCCCATGTTGTGGTGACCCCCCAACCACTTATACATCACTGGGTGCCAGGGGCATGGCCAAATAAAAGGGGGGAAAAATGGCGGACAGCCTTGTTTGGCGACCCCCGTGAAATGGTTTTTCGACCCCAAATGGGGTCCCGACCCACAGGTTGAGAACCACTGCTGTATTACAATCTCTGCACAGGAACTGGAGGTTGTCCATAACTTTGTGAACCTTGGCTCAACTATCTCTGACACTCTCTCTTTAGATATTGAGCTGAATAAACATATTTATGTGGCCACCACATTTTCCAGACTTACAAAGAGAGTATGGCTTAATAAGTTGACAGAACATACAAATATTCAGGTCTATAAAGCCTTCATCTTGAGCATACTCTTATACTGCAGTGAGTCTTGGACCCTTCATGTATGGCAGGAGAGAAAGCTGAACACCTTTCATATGCGCTGTCTCCAACATATTCTGGCATGAAAAAATCCCAAATAGTGCAGTCCTGGAGTGTGCTGGAATTTCTAGTATGTATACACTATTGAAACAGCAATGTCTATGCTGGTTTGGGCATGTCATGAGAATGGCTGACAGTCGGATTCTGAAAGATCTCCTGTATAGAGAACTAGTGCATGGAAAGCGCCTCAGAGCGAGACCTCAGCTGCAATATAAGGATATCTGCAAGAGAGACCTAAAGGCCTTGGGAATGGATATTAACAGCTGAGAATCCTTGACCTCTGATCGTTCAGCCTGGAGGCTAAAGATGCAGCATGGCCTTCTCCAATTCGAAGAGACACTTGTGCTGCAGGCTGAGGCAAAGAGGCAGTCCCAGAACCAGCGAAATCTGGGGGCTGGACAGGGGAAAAATTGTATCTGCTCTCAGTGTGGAAGGGACTGCCATTCTCGAATTGGCCTTTTTAGCCACACCAGATGCTGCCTTAGGACCTCTTTCCAGAGCACGATACCATAGTCTCTCGAGACTGAAGGATGCCAAAAATAGAATAGAATAGAATAGAATAGAATAGAATAGAATAGAATAGAATAGAATAGAATAGAATAGAATAGAATAGAATAGAATAGAATAGAGAATTCTTTATAGGCCAAGTGTGATTAGACACACAAGGAATTTGTTTTTGGTACAGAGGCTCTCAGTGTACATGCAAAACAACAGAGTAATAATAATAATGATGATACCAATAAGAGAAAGTAGTAGAAAAGATGAGAAGGATAATAATAATAATGCAGACATACCACATGAGTAAATATACTTAGACATAAGACAGTCCTATGGGAATGTTCAGCAGAGTGATGGCACATGGGAAAAACTGTCTTTGTGTCTAGTGGTTTTGGCATGCAGTGCCCTATAGCGGCATCCTGAGGGGAGGAGTTGAAACAGTTTATGTCTAGGATGTGAAGAGTTTGTAGATACTTTTTCAGCTCTCCTTCTGACCCGTGCAGTGTGTGTGTGTGTGTGTGTGTGTGTGTGTGTCTGTCTGTCTGTCTATATGTATGTATGTATGTATGTATGTATGTATGTATGTATGTATGTATGTATGTATATATATATATATATATATATATATATATATATATATATATATATCCTCAATGGAAGGCAGACAGGTTGTAATCATTTTTCTGCAGTCTTAACTATCTGTTGAAGTCTGCACCTGTCCTGTTTGGTTGCTGTATCAAACCAGATAGTTATAAAAGTACAAATGACAGACTTAATAATTTCTCTATAGAACTGTATCAACAGCTCTTGGGGCAGTCTGAACAAAGATAGAACATTCTTTGTTGTGCCTTTTTAATGATGGTGTCAACTGGAATCTTGACAGATGGTTCTAATGTTAGTATCCGTTTCAAATTATGGGACATTATAGAATCAAAAAAACTTGACTCTACTGTTGATATTGCACTGTCTAACTTAGTAAAAGGTGGTAGAATAGGAGGACTCCTCCTAAAATCCACTCTCACCTCTCCATTTTTAAGTGTGTTCACTTCTAGATTGTTCTGGCTACACCACAGAGCCAGTTGTTTCGCAGGCAAAACCAATTTCTTAGGGCCCAGAAGCATGACACAAAGATAAGGTATATGGAAGCTAATAGGACAGATAGGATAACATAGGCGGGTAGCAAGATTTGGAGGCAATCTTTTACCTTACTGAAGATCAGGATCGGAGAGACCAATTCTATAATGGCATGGATTGGGATAGGTCCTTGGCTGATAAAACTCACTTAACAATGGCAACTGGTATTACTAAGATTGTGGTCTCTAAGCAATGAAATCACATGATATCTTGCTTTATGACCACATCTCTTAGTGACTGAAATTTTGGTCCCAATTGTTATAGTTAAATCAAAGTATCTGTCAATGGCAAGAGTTCATAATTCTTTGTACAACTTGTTAATTCCATTCTGCAGTACTGTTGCGACACTATGTGAGTCTTTGGGACTGGACTGTTTATAAGATTTGTTTCTTTTTTTAAAAAAAAAATCAAGACATAAAATTCCAAATCTGAGAAAAAATGTACTTTTAGAAAAAAAAGTAGTTCTTTAATTGCTATATAAATTATTGTAAAATGATCCTATAATTTTATGAACATTTAATCAATTTGCATTGAAATTGTTAAAATATAATTTATATTATTTAAATACATCTTAGAATCTAATCCTTATTATAAACTAGGTGGATTTAAAACAAAGTTAGAGATACTGGGTTGAAATACCTGGTTTATGTTTTAGAATTATTGCTAAATTCTCAAATAATTCTCACAAATAATTAATTAATTACACATTTCAATCTTGCTTTTGTTTTCTAAGTTAATAATTAGAATACAATCATTATTTTTGGTCAACATCAATTTCTTGGAAAAAGTTAATAAATTGGAAATACACACACACATGTATGTATATATACATATAAATATAAATATACAGAGATATACATACAGATACACAGAGAGAAACATACACGTACATACACAAGCCAGCTAATAAATGATCTGGTTTATTTAAAGCAAAAGCTACAGTGAAAATGATCAGTTTCTTCTGACTTCTGAACTACAACCTCCTTGCAGCTAAAACATTCAACACCTCATTTAATCTTTTCTCACTAGAGTAGCACAGTACTGAAAAAGAAAAGGAAAAAAATAATCTCAGGACTTCATCAATTTTTCATGAATTTTCATTTAGACCAGAGCCACTCTTGCAGTGGTCAATAGATCAAGCTGCTATCTCAAATTTAACAGCTGGGGATACAGCTGCTATCTCTGGTGCTACAACCAACTCTACCTAGATCAGAAACGATGTCAGACAGATTAGGACTTGTCTCTAGTATTTCAAAGTGAAGACCTGATACATGAAATTTAAATTCTGTCTCTGTATCTTTCCCAATATATGTTTTATGATCATTTCACTTGTATTTAGCAATTTACATTTGCATAAAAAAGATCTAGTCCTGTTAAGATAACAAAATATTCCTAGCCTATTGTTACAGAAGCAAATGCTGTAATGTCTGTAAATTGTATCTTGAAAATAATAATAATAATAATAATAATAAGGAACTGCTTCCATCCTGCAATGATATCTGTAATACCATCAAACATCCACATCTGCCTATCCCAGTTCCTTGGTAAGGACTCGATAGGTAGACAAAATGCCAAATCCAGTCTGAACATCTGGCTGACTATGCGATGATCCATAATAATAATAATAGTTTGAAGGGACCTTGGAGGTCATCTAGTCCAACCCCCTGCTCAGGCAGGAAACCCTATACCATTTCAGACAAATGGCTATCCAGTCTCTCCTTAAAAACGTCCAGTGTTGGAGCATTCACTGCTTCTGAAATAATATGGTATTATTTCATTTCCACAAATGAATCTATCTATAAATGGGCTTAACACACTTGCAAAAGGAAGTATGATTACACAAAGATATTTGATTTATCATTACAAATAGTTTATAGTTATGAACAGTTTGTAATTTATTTGAAAAGTTAAGATGGCATTAAAAGCATAAAAAACATTATTTGCTAAAACAGTAATAACCCCCACTAGCAAAATCGAACAAAATACCAGTAGTTGCCTGACTATAGCACTACATAAACTTATATCAATGAACAAAACAATAAGCATACTTTCCTTTAATGTTCCCATAAATTTTTACAGATAATATTACTAAAGTTAGGAATGCTTAGTGGAAAGTATTCATTGCTCCACTATGATTCAGTAACTGCAAAATATTTCATAATGTCTGGATGTTGTTTGTAATTACTTACATGCTACTTCCAGAGAAGCATTACGACTCACAGCTTCCCCCAGATAGTTCCTGGCAACACAAACATAGCTTCCTTCATCTGGTTTACTCCTGCGTCCATGTACAATTCTTAGGAAAAATAAAGATCCACTAGGAAGCAGCATGCGATGTGAACGGGGGTCATCTTTGTCAGTCTCTACACGCTCTCCATCTTTGTACCATTCAATAATGGGAGTTGGCCTTCCTTCAGCCTTGCAGTTCAAAGTTGTAGGCTCTCCTTTAGAAACAATAACATCAGATGGATGCTCTACTATTCGTGGAGGAAAGTCTTCCTGGCGAAGACGAGATCCTAATGACAAAGTATAAAGAAAAAATAATCAGTAAGTCATTTTTTTTATTAAGTTTTTGAAATTTTACAAAAACAAAACAACCCATCCCCAAACCTCCCCAACCCTCCCATTCCCTCCCCCGACCTTCCCAGAGCTGAACATAGGCTTAATTGAAATTTCTTCAAAAAATCTTAAAAAAAAAATAAACCATGAATAAATCTAAATACTAAATACATTAATTAAACAAACTATAAGATAATTAACAATAATGAAAGAAAAAAGAATAAAGAAAAGGAAAAAAGAAAAAGATAAAAGATATAATAAAAATAAAAGATAAAAATAAAAAAGGAATAAAATCTATAAGATGTTTTAAATTTTAAATATAAGTTATTGAAAAACTAAATAATATTTTTTAATATCCAACTTATATTGTATACAATCTATCCATTTTTTCCATACCGCAAAATACTTCTCCTGCGATTGATCCTTCAAAAAAGCCGAAATCTTTGCCATTTCCGCCAAATAAGAAACTTTAAAAAACCACTCTTGCAAGGTAGGCAAAGATTCCTTCTTCCAACATTGCCCTACTAGCAGCCTTGCGGCTGTAATTAAATGTAACATCAATGTGGTCTCTTTAGTATCACAATCAGTAACAATACCTAACAAAAACAATTGTGGGGTAAATTTTACCCTCCTTCTAAAAATTCTTTGAATATTCCACCATATCTTAATCCAAAAGGCTTTTATATTTTTACACGACCACCAAATATGATAGTAAGTAGCATCAAACAACCACATCTCCAACATTTGGGCTGTAAGTCAGGATACATACGAGACATTTTTTGTGGATCAAGGTGCCATCTATAAAACATTTTATAAAAATTCTCCCTTAAGTTCTGGGCTTGTGGAAATTTGACATTCCTCACCCAAATAATTTCCCAGGTATCTAGTAGAACTGGTTCACCAAAATTTTGTGCCCATTTAATCATGCATTCTTTAATTAATTCTGCCTCTGAGTCCAATTCTACTAGCACCCCATAAATTCTCTTAATATGAGTTCGTCTTTTACTTGTTTGATCTTTTACTTGTTTAAGAAAATTTTCATCTTCTCTAAGTAAACCCACATTACGATCTAACTTCCATCTATCCACTATTTGTCTATACTGAAACCATGAGTATATAATATTTTCTTGAGCTAGATCTTCCAAAGATTTTAACTGCCAATTTTTACCAACCCATCTAAGTAATTGTGCGTAAGAAACACCATCCATCTTGACTCCTCTCCTTATCCCCTCTATCGCATGCCAAGGTATAGCCCATAATGGGATTTTAAAATCACTTCTATAATATTTCCTCCAAACCCGAAATAAAGAAATCCTTATAATATGAGATTTAAAAACCCTGTCAACTTTTTAATTAAAAATTAAATAGGCATGCCATCCAAAAAGTAAATCCCAACCCTCCAAGAGGAGTATTTCTACATTTGTTAAATTAACCCAATCACTCATTAATGTTAAGACCTCCGCATCATAGTACAATTTCAAATTCGGTACCTTGAGTCCACCTCTCTCACGAGTGTCTTGTATTATTTTAAGCTTTACTCTTGGTTTTTTCCCCGCCCAAATAAATTTATTGATACCTTTCTGCCATTCATTTAAATTAATCTCATTCAATCAGTAAGTCATTTTTAAAACTCATAATTTCCATAATTGAAATAAATATTCATAAGCATTCTGTATTGGAGCATGTCCCACAGAATTCACCAAAAATTAATTCTAAATGAATTCATACAAACACACATGAGTATTATATATTTATGTATTTATAAAATCATATGCACATTTTCAATGCAATGCATTTCAAGTGGCCCATATAAACAAAGTTCAATTTGGCATTGAAAATTACTAATTTGAAATATTACATTTGTGGGACTATTCATTTCCAATGGATCTGAGAAGTTGTAGAATGAATTCAATAGGCATTTGGGAGACAACAAATAATTGTTCTTTTAATAAAGATGAAGATAGTATGTGAAAAATATATTTAGAGTTATATAAACAATGACTATTACATACCCTTTTTCCTTTAAAAGACTAATCATAAAGCAAATCCTTATATAGAAATAGGTCTACTTTACTCTTCTGAAATTTTATTAGCAATAATTAATTGGCTTTAAAATAACAATAATCCTCCCTACCTAGGTTATATATACCTTGCTACTGACAACTATTCTCTGTGTGCACTGAGCAATTTCAATTTCATATCAACTTCATAGCAGTATCTCTCTAGCTGGTACCTCAGTACTCATCATTGTTTCCTGGAAGTGCTATGAGTACCAAAAATAATGAGTACCAAATTTTTGCCATAAGAAATAACATAGTGAGTCACAAGGCAGTCAACACCAACAAGTTGCAGCTTGTATGCTGAATACCAAATAAATGATGAGTACTGGAAGAAAATTTTCACATCAAAATACGTTGAGTACCAAACTGGATGAATTTCAAAGCAGTTGAGTACCAAGGTACCACTGTATAATACAATTACCTGAAAACCAATGTGTTTGTACAGGTGTGTTTGTGTGTGTGTGTGTGTGTGTGTGTGTGTCAGAGTTGAGATCAACAGTGTGTTTGCTAGCTTACAGCTACCATTTAATAAAGAAAAAAATGTATTATTCCTATACTGAATACTCTTCTTTGAGAGATAAGCACGTAAACATAGTGTTTTGAATAATTTCAAAATAGGGATTCCTTTCCTTACAAGCTAATGTCAAGAATACATATTATCTTGTAAGCCAATAGTCAATTTTAGCAAAATATAAAAGGACATTATTATACTGCAACATAGAAGTATGAAAGTAGCAAGTATTTTTCATTAATATTTTAAGTAATACTTGACTCAGAAATAACATAATTTACTGTAAAGTGCATTTAAATTTAGATAAACATTTTGTTATGAATCAACTGTCCATCTACTTTCATAATTCAAAAGAATAAAAGTTTATAAGTCTTACTGCAGTTGTATGAAAGTTTTTAAAAGATCACATATTTGCTGCATAAGCATGGAACTTTACAAACAAAAGTAAAAAAAAACTTTTTGCTGAAAAAAGGAATTGAAATAATGTTTAAACATTTTTGTATAAACTTGTCAGTTCTGTCCTTGTCACCTCATAGCTTGATTATGCAATGTGATCTAACTGCACCCAAAACATCAAACGTCAAAGCCAGAATGCAGTGACATGAGCAGTGATGGCCTTCCCTTGGCAAGCCTCATGTCAGTTTTGCAAGCTGCACTGGTTGCCAATGTGCCTCACAGTGCAATACAAGTTACTATTTATTAAAGTTCTACATGGCAAAGGCTTTAGTTATTTGAGGGACTGCCTGTGTTCTACAGTTCCTACCCACTGGGCGCCCTTGATTAATAAAACATAATCTTTTGGGACTCAGGAAATATGTCTTTTTTACCGTGGTATCTACTCTCTAAAATAAGATGCCCCTGAGATCTATATGGTTCCCACCAGTTTGGAACCCTCTGAAATACAGATCTGAATGGGCCCTGTGATGTTATATATTTTGATTTGTTGTCTGCATTGCTGGCTGGTAATTATTTTGTGTTTTTTTTTTCTGAATAAGTTCTTTATTGAACAACAATAGGAAGAATAAAAGGGAGAATAAAACTGAATACATAAAATAAATATTTTACTCTTATAAGTTGAATGTAAGGTATCTATCACCAGATTTTACACATGAAATATGTAGCCATACTATATTTTGCTAAACAACAATTTGATGATTATACATTTTTCTATCAAATTCCTAATTCTTAAAGGGAAATAATCTCTCTGACTAAGAACTGCTTAAAAATCCTAATGCACTTTCAGTTTATGTAAGAAAAAATGTATTTGTGTTCTTATATTCATATTTATTGATAATCGGTTGTAATCTTACAAAGATAGTCAATTTTAATTTATATTATCACTGATTTTACCATTGAAGATTGTTAACATAAACATATGTTCTATCAAATAAATACAATATTTTATTATATACAATAATCTGAATATTCATCTGTTTAGTAATTCATTATAAACTTTCTTGGATCAAGTGGTAAATTTTGATTGGAGAAAAAAAGGATTACCAGAAAACAATGTCTACTGTTGTAAATATGATGAACCATCACAAAAATAGCTGTTCTATAGCTGGTGAACAATAAATAATGTATAGTAGTAGATATGGTCAGTAACTTTTTCTGTCTAGACTAGTATTCAAATTTCTCTCTATATATGTGATCCTTATTGTTCAGATATTTTTCATTTGGATTTGTACTTTCCTACTTCTTATGTTTAACTTCCTAGGAACTCTCTGCTTTTCTATGTGAGCACAAGATAACTTGACTTGCTTGCTGTTTCAACATCAAAATCAAGTTGTAACCTGTTTTGCACCCTAATTTTGCTTTCCCCAATTGTGTTCTCCTTTCTGATTGCATGAGCTTATTAAACAGTGGCTATTATTCCCAACAGAGGGCATTTCTTAGCATGCTTATAATTCATAATTGCCAGTTAATCCTCATCTGAATTTTTTTTCACCTAAGCAGGTAATGGTACTTCCTAACAGGTGCCATTAGGACAGATGTCAACTTATTCCCCAAATGTATTGTCCAATTGTCATGAAATGGATTTTGGATAGTAAAAGACAGCAGCTGTCTACCATGCTTAGATGAGCAAGAAAAAGCAATACAAAAATAGACATACTGGCTTATAGTATGATGTCTGGTGCAAAATTACATATTTTTAGCATGTGAAAGATGTTTGAACATTTTCCTACACAAATATATAAATTCAAACTTTAATCTTTCAGTGTACAACTCTATGACTGAAAAACTATTTAAAATTAAAACACCCCTTTTCGTCTCCACCCCATTAAACATTAAGATATGATTAGAGTTTTCTACATATACCAACTATTTCTTCCCACCTGAGATCTAAAAAAGAAATAATTAAAAAAACAGCTTTTCTTTTCCCACT